GGAGGGGGAGGGGGAGGGAGGGAGAACCACCATTGGTGAGGCTCCATTTCAGAAAGCAGCAGCAAGAACAAGCACTGTACACGAGGGTCTTTTCCTCAGCCTGCCGGCACCAGACCCAGCTCCTAATTTGCTTTTATTAGGTGTTGTGGTAGGGCCATAAATGATAGTTTATGCAGAGCTTTACCGAGGGGGAGTGAGGAAGGGGTGGTGATTGGTACAGGGTCCTTGGGGAAATTTGGCCCCCGTAAAGTTTGGCTAACCTTAATTAAAGTGCAGGTTTCTGTACTCACAGTTGTGTCAGCCTGGGTAGTTTGAATGCTTTCACAGGAAGCTGAGTGATCCTGTTTTTGCTCAGACGAAGAGTCAGCAGTGACCGTGACAGACCATCAAATGCTCCAGACTCCAGGGTGCTGATGCGGTTGCTGGCCAAGTTGCTGGAATGATTCAGGAGAGAAAATGCAGTGGCAGTAGGAGGCCTTCCTCATTGGGTTACAGACACCAGGCCCAGCTGGATCTGAGCTAGGGAAACATGCTAAGGCACACCAGAGGGACAGATTCCCACTGCGTCGTTTATCATCACAAGGCTTCAAAGCCCAAGCTGACTCCCAGATAGGGAACCTGAGGACTGCTGGAGCAGATCTGCCCAATGAAGACACCAAGACATGTCTTGTTTTGGCTCGGGGCACACTGCTTGTGATGGTGGGCCCACGAGGGTGGGAGTGACAGTCACACTTCCCCTTCCCCAACTTTTTCGCACACTAGCCACACAGTTTAGCCTTGGGAGAACTGCAGGATTCCTTCCTCGCCCACCACTCCCTACTCCAGGCTGACCAGAAAAGCCCCAAAAGCAGAAAGTCAATTGAGAAGCAAGGTCACAGTTAATTTAACATGTTAGAGAAACAGCCTTTAATTCTAAAATAGGTCTGACTGCATGACTTACATAATGACAATGCAAACTATACATTTGAATAATTCTAAATGCCTCCAAGAAGCACTCAGAGACCCATGTGAGTCCTTCAGAAAACCATCAATAATCTTCACAGGGCTACAGGTAATGCGTGACCAAACGGAGAAGTGATCTTTCTCAACATACCCTGCAGTGTACATCTCAGAGGTACACTCCTCATTGCTCAAATTATATCAAGTAGTAAAGACAAAACGCAGAGGACAATATAATCTTGTGAGAAACCAACCCATACCTGTCTTCCTGCCTTTGCCAGACACAAGCTGCTTTTTATGGCTTAAGTGAAAAGGAGAAATACCAGAAAGAATCTTCAACCACAGTGCCAGGGGGAGAGAGGAACTTCTGTTCCCGCCACTGGGCAACAGCCCAGGCAGGGCACATGAGGACTCTGCAAATGGGGCTGGACTGTTTGTTCTTAACACTCCAGATTAAAGACCAGTCAGTGCGATGAAGATATACCAGCTACCAGGTGCCAAAGTAGAAAGTGCCCTTGTATCTGTATAGGGAGAGGACACTACAATTCAGTGTAGTGGTTGGTGACTTCTGTGTCACACAAGGAGCTTCAATGGCAAATGGACAACTTTTGAAAGTTCTCACTCAGGGCTTCACAGAGTCCATTCCTCTGTTCCCAATTCTTACACCTTGATGTAGCCTAGGAAAGTAATCACCCCTCTCTCTGGAGTTTTAGGACAACTTGGAAAATATGGACCACGCCTCATCTTTCCTGAGAATATGGGTCATGATGAGCCAAGCAGCCATGCAAATGAGCTGCAAAATAACTCAGAAACAGTAATGATATGCACTCGTAACTAGACACTGTTTCAGACCACCCCCCCCCCCCCCCCCCCCCCCAACATTTCTCTACCTATAGCTAATAGAATACACAGGTTTTAACTTTACTTCTGTCTACCATCTATCCATGGGAGACAGGGCTCTAAGACGGGTGAAAGAGAAACAGACACATCTAAAAGGTCCTGAACAACTGCAGAGCTGAGTAACTGCCCTCTCCAAATATGCCACATCGCTTGTCTGAATGGTGCCTGACACCAGAAAGATAAGCTCTGACAAGTTCAAAGAACCTGTCTCCTTCTGACGTGCATTTCTAAACTGCCTGACTCTTTTTTCCAAGCTTCTCTGGGAGGCAGCCCAGCACATGGGAACAAAAATAGACTTTGTGATCTGGACAGACCTGACTCCTAGGCTCTCCACTGTGAAGGAGTTCCCTGGATAGGCCAGTTAACCTCTCCCTGCCTCAGCTTCTCCCTCTGCTTGTAACATCAAAGAATATGCCAAGATTTGTTAATGCTCTAAAATGGGCACCCAAGGAACAAATGGGTAGATCTCATCCTGGCCTACTAAGGGAAGGCAAAGATCTAGACAACCCCACAGACTAAGCCAAGACAGGGCCACAGTGAAACAAATACCCATCCTGTGTCTAGGTCAGGGTACTGGGGCAGCCACTGTCTTGCCTGGAAGCCAGACGACAGAAACACTTACAGCTCCCTTATACGCAGGCCCCCCGGAAAACAGGAGCTCCGAATTTCTGTGATGTTGTTTGAACTCAGATCCAGTATTTCCAAGGACAGGTAAGACTTCAGCTGGCTTCCCTCCACACTGCGAATCTTGTTGTGCTGCCTGAAACGTAACAGGAAGGTGAGGCAAGCATTTCTTTTTGCAAATTATCTACTTATTTTGCTATTTACTTTTACATACAATCACAATTCAGTGACATTCAACCTCAGATCTGATCCTCTTTCTATCACATTATCATCTGCTGGTTCAGTACTACTGACAGGGTTTCCTGTGCAGAACAAGTTATCTGTCAAAATACTCTGCCTCAGCAACTTCACTCAAGAAGAACAGGGTTACGACATTGCCCAGCAATGGGCCCGTCATGGAGGACTTGCCAGTATACCTGGCTACCCCAATCCAAGCCCATCTCTGATCTCTGGAATCCAATTCAGCATCCATGAAATCAACATAGGCACCAGAGCCCAGAGCTCAGTTTAATCCAACTGAATCTATCATGACATACCTCACGTTCTACTGATATGTACTATGAGCCAGGCACGAAGATAGAGGAGATTATAAAGAAACAAAAAGACGATGACCAAATTCTAACTCTAAAAAGAGAAAGAAGAGCTTGTTCCTGGCTCAACTGGAACCAAATCCCTTAACCTCTGCCCTTCATGGCTTTGAGCCTTGGTTTTCTCATCGGAAAGAGGAGGCCACAACCAGTGACCTGAAACCACACTAAAGCATCTGGTGGACACTGAGGTTGAGTGTTCAAGGTGTTCTAACTTCCCATCATGACTTATTTACACTTTTAATCCTCTTTCTGACAAACCCCAAACCTAACTAGCCAGCCCATAGTAACTCAACAGGAGATGAGCAACAGAAGGTAATGTGTGTGCGAGGGGAGGAGGCTGATGTGGGTCTGGCTCTGCCTGGTGGAGTCCCACCACCAAGTCTCAACTCCTACAGCAGATAGTGGGGAGTCTACAGGGTGGTAGTGCTGGACCTGTGGGTTCCAGGCACACACTCTGCCAGCTCTGAGTAAACAGGGGCAGCTCTCCAGCCAATCAGAGCCTTCTGGAGCACAAAACAAAAGCTTGGCATTGCTTACCAAGTGGCATCTCCTTTAAACAAACACTTGACCAAATCGGTTCCAACAGGCATAAACAAGGACCTCTTTCCCAGAAGCTCCAGGGCTTCTCCTGGTCCCTTTGTTTTATGGTTTTTTCATAAATCTCCCAGGCCCTAAACTCAAAATCCATTTGCAAAGGCACAACTTCCCTCACAAAGAAACAAACTTCCCTGAAAGAAAGGACCCCGCCCCCACTTCCCTTCACCTCAACACCCCCTCAAAGCTACTTCCTCCGAGTTCATTAGTTTCTTTAATAAAAGCAGTCTCTTCAGTTTTCTGACTCCAAAAGAAAAAGAAAACCTTTATTATGTAAAGGATGGGAAGAAAAAGAACAAGAAATAAAGGCCACAGAACTGGGCCTCTTCCGGGAACTCTGAATATAGTACCAGGGAGCCAGGAACAGAGGGTTTGTACACAGAAGAGACAGGCTCCTGTGCCCAAAGTTCCACCCGCCCCAACACACACAAAAAGAGCCTGGCACTCAGAGGCCTGACACAGGCAAGCCTTTCTCCATCCCCCACACCTCCTCTCAGTCTCCTTGTTCTTAGTCTTCTGTCTTATTCTTTTTTCCTCTTTCTCCACAGTCTATTTATCCACTGAATCTCATTCTAGGCCCATTCTGGATAAATGCCACTGTGGGGAAGACACATCGCTTTCACACAGTGGGAAAAGTTCCCCACTGAGCAGAAAGAGCAGCCATGGAGATGGGAAAAAAGAGGGTGGAGTGAGGGTTGAGCTCTGGGAGGATGAGAGGGTAAGGGGGCAGTGCCTCATCTTCATGAAGAAGCTGCCAGGCAGGCCAGAAAAGTGGGACTAAGGCTGAGAGGAGCCGGGTAAGACCTTCAGAGCTGGTCTGTCAGTCAGACCACACCAAGAAATACTCAGTGGGAGAAGGGACGGAGTGGCCACCAGGAACAGGCACCAGAAAATAAGAAGATGGAGATGATGGCAAGAGTAGCATCAAATGGTTACCTTATACTTTCTAGACTAAACAGGGAAGAATTAGGTAAGCAGGACAACGGATGTATGTACCTTCTACCCTTACCACCTGCAGTCTATTCCTACCCAGCAGCTAGAGACTGCTAAAAACAAGAGCCAATGAAGTCACACAGGGAACAGGGAGACATCGGCAGAAAAAGTATCTAATCAGGAGTAAAGGTACTGAATACAGTCAACTTTCTGATTCTGAAGGTACCATATATGCAGATTCAACCAAATGCATATACAAAATATTCAGGAAAAATAAATCATTCCTATACTGACTGTGCAAACGTTTATCTTGTCATCATCTCCTAAGCAACAAATTAAGACCATTATTTGAAATTTATACTACATTAGTTATTAAAAGCCAGAAAGTATCTGAAATGGAAACAATACAAATACTGTATTGTTTTACCTACAGAACTTAGGCATTCAGAGATTTGGTATCTGAGGCTGGTTCTGGATGCCTATATAGAAAGAATCCCTAAAACTCAACCACAAAAAAATTCTGACTAAAATATAAAGGAGGCTGAAGAGATGGCTCGGCAGTTAAGAGCACCTGCTGCTCTTCCAGAGGACTCAAGGTCCAGAAGACCCGAGCAGCCACACTGGACAGCTCAGAACCACTTGTACCTCTAGCTCCAGCAAGTCCAACACCCTCTTTCTGGCTTCCACAGGTCCCCACAAACATATGGCATGCATTCACACAGATGCACACACATACATATACATAAATAAAACAAAAATAATTTTTTTTAAATCAAAGGACTTGAATAGACATTTCTCCAAGAAGATACACAAACAGCCAATAGACACTAGTACACAGAAGAGAAATGCAAATCAAAACCATGGTAACTACTATCAAAAGAAAGTAAGAACAGATGTGGGCGAGCATTTAGAGATATTAGAACTCCGGAGAACTTTGGAAGGAAGGGAAAAAGAGTAGAGAGCTAAAGAAACGTATGATCACTCCTGAAGAAATGATGGGCTTCCCATGCAGACCAGCAATCCCACCTGTGGATACCCCAAGAACCAAAGGAGATATCATGGGACATCTGCACATGTGTTCTGTTCACAGAAGTACTATCCAAAAGATGAAGCAACCCAAAAGTCCATGACAGATGACTAGATCAGGAAAACGTGGCATATACCACTGCTCCCCAAACTATGATGCCAACTCATGTGTGGTCACAAAGTGAATGTAGGAGCTGGAGAAAATTTGGCAACAATAAAAGATTTCTGAGTGTGCAATGAATACATGTTGTTTCTGGAACTGCTGGTCCATGATGCATCACTCAGTTTCAATGCAGCTGAGGTTCTGAACACACAACATGCCCATGCTACGCTGTGCATGCTGTCACACATGAACAAAGCATCCATATTCAAAACACCCATGTGCTACGACTTACAGTGTTTTCACTGTACTGTTTTAAGATACATTTCTTTATTACTTATTGTCAGTAAATGTCTGTGTACTTTATTTTATATACCTATATGCCCAGGGTCATGTAAGTTTTCTACTCTTATAGAAACATGATTGTTTAATTCCAGAAAACAAAGACTTTTAAATTTTCCTGTCACTCCTCAGCATGTATCAAATTAGAGTGTCTCTGAATTGCACAAACGTTCAGTTTTAAAAACTGCTGTTTCAGTTGCTGAGTTCGCTTCCTCACACATGCACAAAAAATTATTCAGTTAATTTTGGTTTTAGATCAGAATAGAATTTCTAATAATTTGTGAAATGAAACACACCTCTGCCGTGTTGTCCAACATACACAAAATGGCATTCTTAGCACTAATTATAAATTTTATACAAAGACTTATTTTGTATGTCCATGTGTCTCTACGTGGATATACACACATGTGTGAGGGAGTGCACACACCTATGCCTAAGTAGGTGTCAGATCCCTCAAAGCTGGAGCTACAGGGGTTTGTGGAACACCCAGCTGGGATCCAAACTCTAGTCCTCAAGATTACACAGCGAGTACTCCTAACCACTGAGCCATCTCTCTGGCCACCAGCACTAACAACTATAAAATCAAAGTATCAGTCAGTTCTGAGAAATGCTGAAGATGCTGCGCCAAGGCTGTAAACAGCCAGGACAATATTCAGCCAACATTTATCGACGTATAAATGAGCATATCTATCTCATTAGTACGCAAATTTGCCTTCATCTTTAATAAACTGCAAAATTATATGTGTAACAAAGAATTATTTTAAAATAAATCTCTAGAGTTTATTATCAGTAAATGTTTGATTTGTATAGCTATTTTATATACCTATATACCAAAGGTCACATAAAAATTTCTTTTTGAAAAAGGGTCATGAACAGAAACTGTTGAGAAGCCATGGTATAAGCAAGCAGTGGTATAAACAGGAGCTCTGCTGTGTGCTACTGAGATGTATGACCTTTGAGGACATTATGCTAAGTGAAATAACCAGTTATAACAAGACAAACACTGTATGATCCCATTTCATTGTGATCTAGGGTAATAAAGTTCATTGAAACAAGCAGTAGAAAGGGCTGGTACTCCTAAGACTTGGAAGGTGGAAACAGGACTAGTTTGAGGCCCTCAACGGCATGGCGTGTTCTGGAGTTTCAGGCCACCCTGTGCATAGTGAAACCCTGTCTTGAAAAAACAAAACACAGTAGTGGTGGCTCACACCTGTAATTCCAACAGTTGGAAAGCTGAGGCAGGAGGATTATCATGAGTTCAAAGTTACTCTGCGCTACATAGTGAGACCCTGTCTCAAAAAAAAAAAAAAAAAGAAAGGAAAATAATCAAAAATAAAAAGGCAGCTGCCAAATTCTGGGCTTTTTAAAAAGGACGATGAAGACTGACTGCTAAGGCACAGGCAGTTTTAGTTTTGCAAATGGGAAGTCTTGAGATGGGTTGCACAATGTGAATGCACTGAATGCTACTGAACTCTCTGTGCTTAAATTTTATGTTATGTGTATTTTATCACAATTTAAAAGCAAAACAAAACACGAGTCAGTTCACAAGAC